ATGTGAATGTGAATTAAATGTTTGTACATACCTCAATATATACCAATGGAATCTAGAAAAAGAAGAAAGGAAGCAGCATGTTTAGACAGAGTGCAAGCAACACAGTCAAATGACTAAGGCAATGACCACATTTCACGGTAAAAGCTAATCATCCAATGGGGTAAGGAAAAAAGTTCCTGGTATGGATCATCAGAGCATTTTGGGTGTGAGAAGAGGGGGACAATCCTTTGTCTCAGGCACAAAAGAAAGCTAAAATTACTAATTACAAACTGGATGATCTGCAGTGCTAATAAGAACAGGTGCACATTGTGGTAATGGCAAATTGCTCACTGTTTACACCAGAATTGTCCATTTGCAGTTTGTCAAACCTTTCCAAGAATTCAGAAGGCAGCCTTATGCAGAAATTTGACAACAGATCCTTCTAAAAAGACCTGAAGTGACCCAGAATTTTCACTGTTATCTCAGTGTACTGAGAGATCTCCCCAACAGAGACTATTTTTCCTCCCTTTACCCACATTTGACTTAAGGCAAAATAAGTTGAAAAACAATTATTATGCTTACCATTTCATTCACAGGTCGGAACTCTTCATCCAGAGAAACAATTCTGAAGAGGACTGATGGAGAAAGATAGTGAGGTTCCACAGTGCAAGCAGTAACCAGAAAAATCAGTTGCAAAAACAAATGGTATAACAGACAACAGGGCTGTTCTCTTCTAAGGGAATTCCATTTACTAGAATGCTAGGTCATGCTAGAAGGTTACCCATCTACTATGGATATATGAATAAGAGGATGTTAAGAGCAAATCCACAGCAGTGTGAACATCTTACTGACCATGGGCATCACAATCTCATTAATCGGGACCAAAGTTAAATTTAAGTTGCCTTTGTCTACTTTGCAATGAGGCATTTTTATAACTAGACTGATTTCCTAGGAAGGATTAATGCAAGCAAATTACTTCAGCACTTGGCTGCAAATTTGTGTTGGCTCTGGATGGAGAGGGAATTTTTAAGACATTTGTTTTTATCCAGGTCAAATTTAGGAGATCACTGGCCCAGAAGAAATAAATAGCTTACATAATTCCTTCTGTCTTCATTGAGCAAAACCAGCTGCTTCTTTGGAAGTTATTTCATGACTTAGTCTGAGTTTTGGCCCTGTTCTCTATAGAATAAATATCCAGTCTTACTCTGATTTTAATCAGATAATAATTTTTAGACCTCCTAACTGCATGGACCACAGCAACAAAGCCCACAGTGAGAGAGGGAGGTGCAGATATGTGCATGCATCTTAAGATTCCCCAAATTTTCCCTATATGGAGCAATAAAACATAAGTCTCAGCCATGAGGTTGCAGTTCTGACTCCCACTGAAAGCAACCCATATCTGGCCAGCATGATCCAACAGTTTTAGTACAAATGTTTGTTTCAAATGCAAATCTCCATCCATTTCCTGGTACCTGTCTGCCCAGGCTTGTAGATGGGTTTGTCTGTCTGGATGAAGACCAAGCTCTCGGAGTTCTGGACTGCCACTAATTTGCGGCTGCTGAACTGCAGCGTGGCTCCCGTCACCGTCACAGTGAGAAACATGACTGGTAATGGGACTCTTGATTTTGGAAGCTGGAAAGTAAGAAGGAAACGATGTAACTGATATTTAAAGGCTTCCTGAACTGAAATAGCTTTCATGAAATAAGAGCTCTAATATAATCCTGAAGGACCCAGCACAGAAGTGAGAGGAACTATAATCAGGAAAAAGAGACTGATTTTTATTTGTCTCTTATTCCTACCCATTCCTCCTCCTGTGCAGTGATTACGCAAGTATTAAGCAGCAAAGGAACTCCTAGCCCTAGCACACAATCTTTCAAAATTCTTACTACCCTGGCCAAACCTTTCTATCCTTTTCCCTTTGACATCCACATACAGAATGGAAGAGTCTGTCTCCTCTTTCAGGTTATGTCCCTAGTCCTCGCAGAACATTTCCTTTTCAAACCAAACATCTATACCTCTCTTTCACAAGTGACCAAGTCAGTCTTCAGCCTACATCTGACAAACCAATACAAAAATGCCAACCTTTTCAGTGTCCTGAAGACCAGTTCTTCACTCTTTAGTGAAGAATAATCCAGGCTCTGAGATAAATGATCAGGTTTCCTAGTTGCCTACAACCCACTATAGTCCCTGGGGCTTTCAATTACATTAAATTAAAAATTTCCTGCTTTGCTGTTTTGATTTTTTTTTTTCAGATACAGGCAATCACAGCTCTATGTTCTTAAATTAATCCAGTATCTGAGTATCTAAGGTCCAAAAGCTCTACTACAATTTGAAGGCACTTAAGTGACAAGTTGAGGATATTGAAGGATGATGCAGAAAGCCATTTCACTAGACAGCCATCAGGAGTATCAAGATACTAAACCCACATTCTTCTCCTGTCCTAGAAA